GTTCATTTTTTTTTTTTTTTTGAGTTGGAGTCTCACTCTGTTGCCCAGACTGGAGTGCAGTGGCCACTCCTGGCCACCGCAGCCTTGACCTGCTGGGCTCCGGCGATCATTCCGCCTCAGCCTTCCAAGTAGCTGGAACTACAGGTGTGCGCTACCACGCCCAGCTAATTTTTGATTTATTGTGGAGATGAGATCTCACCAAGTTGCCTAAGCGGGTCTCGAACCCGCGGGCTCAGGCAATCCACTCATCTCGGCGTCCCAAAGCGCTGGGATTACAGGCTGAGCCACTGGGCCTGGCCTGTTCATTTTTTTTTTAAAGCAAGTTTTAGACTTCCTTTAAAAAAGGATTGGCAGTAGTGGAAATCTGTCTGGGGAGAGCTGGGCACACCTTATCGACAAGGGTACCTGTATAATGAACATTTATATACCTAACCCTGAATGAATTGTACCCCACATCTTTAAAATAAAAAATTTTTTAAAACCCCAAAGTTTTAGAAAGTAGATCAGAGAAATAAGGTGGATCCAACTCTCTAAGACAGGAGAGGGGGCCAGATGCTTAAGGAATGTTTGGTCAGAACTGTGTCTGTTCTTGAACATGTCCTAAAAATCAAGGCAGCCCCATGCTAAGCTGAGCAGCACCATAAGCTGGCAGCCGTCTACTACGTAGTTTTTTGTTGTTGTTTTTGGTTTTATTATTATTATTATTATTATTGGGTTTTCTTTAAAAGATGTGGGGTACAGTTCAGGGTTAGGTATACAAATGTTCATTATATAGGTACCCTTGTTGATAATGTATGCCCACCCCTCCCCAGACAGATTTCCACTACTGCCAATCCTGCTTCCCCACCTCCCTCAAGGCAGTACAAAAACTGTGTAGTTTTTATAAAGGTGGATATTGGCAAGAGGGAAGAGTGCATTGATTATAAATGCATACAGAAGTGGGCAAAGATGTCTTAAGCTGATGGGACAGCCAGAAAGGAGGGGAGGCCCAAGAGGGAAGAGGGACACTTCCCAGGAGCCTAAGTCCCATATCTGCCCTCCCTAGCTGTTCCATCAGCCTTTGGTGGGGCTTCTACACAGATTCCCTCAGGAATGCCTGGAGAACTGCCCGGGGCAACGCTTAGGCCCTAAGTTTAGGAGGCGTGTCTGAACAGCCACTCCTGTTCCTCCTGCCTCCAGGATATCCTCGTTGCTCCCAGTTCCAGCCTCCAACCCCTATTTCTTCCTCCTTAGAGGAAACCTACTTGGTCTGCTGCGGAGTGGTGGTGCGACCAAAAATATCAAACGAGATGTTAAACCAGCGGTAGATGTCCGCGTGGATGGTGTGGTATTTGTCACATATCTCCTGAGGCGAGAGACCCTCTTCCATGGCCTTGGTCTCCGTCGCTGTACCATACTCATCTGTCCCACACAGATAAAGGGTGTTCCACTGGCGAAGGCGAGAGTACCTGTAGGGGAGAGCAGCGATGAGGGGCCCGTCTCAGTCATTCCCCTGTACCTAGGGTCCCTTCACACCCCACCTTGAGGTATCCTACTCCAATGCCCACTCCTCCCTCAGAAGGTCTCTCCCCCAGCAGCTGGCTTCACCTGGCAAAGACATCGGCACTGAGCACGCAGCCAATGATGTTCCCAAGGTGGGGGACATTGTTGACGTAAGGGAGGGCACTGGTGATGAGCACATTCCTTTCCCCATCCACAGGCAACCTGGAAAGGAAGAAGAGAACAGTCCATGGGGGAGATGTGAGGGTTGAAAGGGATCAGAGTGCACCCAGCACCCAGACGAACCTGTGCCATGATCACAGGCTCATGCCCATCTGGAATCTTCCTGCATACGAACCCACAGGACCACACGCTCCCTCAAGGACCAAAAACTCCCCTGCAGGGTCCAGCCCAAGGCAAGCAAGCTCCATGTCCTGCTGTTAAGAAGCCTCCTCCCCACACCAATTTCGGTCCCTTTTACTATCGTGACTGTTCCTTTACAAAGAGCTCTTTCCTGGGCTCAAACAGCCCGGGCACTGACAACACTCTCCATAGGCTCTATCGCTGACCACTGACCTCTCCCATTTGCCCCAGGCACACATTACTATGAAATCTTATCACTGTGTAAAATTCGCCAGTGTGTGACTCCCTCTGCAAGTCGTTCCCAGTCTGTTTGTACACCTTGCCTCTGCTCTCCCCACCCCGTGTCTATCATTCCTCATGGCCTACCTCAAACCAGCAGGCCCCAGCCTTGCCTTCACAGCCAGCACCCCTTCCCCATGTTCCAGGATCGCTCCTGCCATCTGAGGTCACTCTGTGCAGTATTCCTTCTTCATGTTTCATCACCCCTGACCGCTACGTGGCACATATACTGTATCAACACACCCTCCCACACCAATACTTTATACCTGTCACTTGTCCATCCTCAGTTCGTCAATACAGGTTCCTGACTACCTCATGTTAACCACACCCCTTCTTCCCAGCAGCTGCGATGTACCCCAGGTCACTGGCACACCTAATTCATGGACCCCTATAGAGCTTATTTCTTCACAATAGAGCTAATTTCTCATGCATTCATTGGTCTTTCTTCCTGTAACTGTGATGCCATAATTTTCTGAAATCCAGTTTAGAAATCAGCTCCTGCCAGGCTTGGTGCTTAGCCTGTAATCCCGTGCTTTGGGAGGCTGAGGTGGGTGGATTGCCTGAGCCCACGGGTTTGAGACCCGCCTGGGCAATTTGGTGAGACCTCATCTCTACAATAAATTTAAAAAAAATTAGCCGGGCATGGTAGCACGCACCTACAGTTCCAGTTACTTGGAAGGCTGAGGTGGAAGGATTGCCAGAGCCCAGCAGGTCGAGGGTGCAGTGGCCGGTAGCGGCCACTGCACTCCAGTCTGGGCGACAGAGTGAGACTCCAACTCAAAAAAAAAAAAAGAAAAGAAAAGAAATCAGCTCCGTCAGGAAAACCTTTCTTCCCTGAGACTGGCTTTCTTGTACCCTGCCCTCCTAACCACTTTGTGCCATATCTGTACTGCACCTTTTATGTTGTGTTATTCTGTCACTTTTCCCATTACAAATGTGCTAACTGCTGTGTGAGTGCGCTCTGGGTACAGCCCTCAAGAGGGCTACATTCTACTATAAAACTGCTGACCGGAATTAGTGTGATGGAGAAAGTTCAAAGTGTCAAAGGAGTTGGAAGGAAGGTTGCATGCACTCTAGCCCTACAGCATAGTCTGGCTACGAGGTCTTTTTATTTTTATTTTTTTTGAGTTGGAGTCTCACTCAGTCGCCCAGGCTGGAGTACAGTGGCTGCTCCCGGCCACCGCAGCCTCAACCTGCTGGGCTCAGGCGATCCTTCCACCTCAGCCTTCCAAGTAGCTGGAACTACAGGTGCGCGCTACCACGTTCGGCTGATTTTTTGATTTTTTGTAGAGGTGAGGTCTCGCCAAGTTGCCCAGGCGGGTCTCGAACCCACAGGCTCGGGCAATCCACTCACCTCAGCCTCCCAGAGGCACAGGATTACAGGTTGAGCCACCAAGCCCGGCTATAACGTGCAGTTTTAAGCAGTCACTCTAGTGGCAGTGTGGAGTACAGTGTGGCAGGAAAAGAGAAAGTAAGAGATGGTAGGGCCTGATAGTATCAGTGAAGCAGCAGTGGGGATAGAGAGGAGGACGACTAGATCTGAGAACTACTCAGGAGGTAGAATCAATGACAGCAGGGGCGAAAGGAAGAAGTATAGATGACACCAAGATTTCTGGCTTAGATTTTCAGGTGGAGGGTGGGGTTGTTAACTAAGGCAGGTGACTAAGTAAAAGAAAAGGATCAGTTGGCAGGGAAGATAACAGCTTTAGTTTGGGGCATGCTGCGTCTGAGATGCCTACAGAGGTGAAGGAGATAGTCTGGCAAATGCGTCTGGAGCTCAGAATGGAGATTTAAGGGATGTCAGTGGGTAAAGAGTAGCTGCAAACATGGGTGAAGACAGAAAAGATGGTGAGTATTCAAATGATATGTTAAGAGAACTTAAAGGGGAGGGTGTAAAAATAAAAAGGAGAGGATGGAAAATTGGAGGTCAGCAAAGGAGACCTGGCAGGCAGGTTCTGGCTCTGCCAACAATTTAATACCAAGCCCACTTATCTGAACCTACTCACACTGGATTCTGCTGGGGCCTAAGGGGAGGCAAGCTATCCAGGCCCTTCTCCCAAGCAGCTACAGCCATGGCAATCTCCTCCTCAGACAGCGTAGCCAGTTCCTCCTCCTATGAAGAGTAGACAGAATCCCTTACCAGGGGAGGGGGACCCACAGGGTAAAGAAATTCTTTTTAAAGAAACTCCAGCCGGACTTGGTGGCTCAGCCTGTAATCCCGCGCTTTGGGAGGCTGAGGTGAGTGGATTGCCTGAACCCTTGGGTTTGAGACCCGCCTGGGCAACTTGGCGAGACCTCATCTCTACAATAAATCAAAAAATTAGTCAGGCGTGGTAGTGCATGCCTGCAGTTCCAGCTTGGAAGGCTGAGGAGGATCAGGAGCCCATCAGGTCGAGGCTGCAGTGGCCGGAAGCGTGCCACTGCACTCCAGTCTAGGCAAGAAAGTGAGACTCCAACTCAAAAAAAAACAAACTCCATAGCCGGGTGTGGTAGTGCGCGCCTGTAGTTCCAGCTACTTGAAAGGCTGAGGCGGAAGGATCACTGGAGCCCAGCAGGTCAAGGTTGCGGTAGCCAGGAGCGTGCTACTGCACTCCAGTGCGGGTGACAGAGTGAGACTCCAACTCAAAAAAAATTAAATTAAATTAAAATAAACTCCTGGCTGGGCTCGGTGGCTTAGCCTATAATCCGTGCTTTGGGAGGTCAAGGTGAGTGAATTGCCTGAGCCTGAGGGTTCGAGACCCACCTGGGCAACTTGGCGAGACCTCATCTCTACAATAAATCAAAAAATTTACCCAGGCGTGGTAGTGCACTCCTGTAGTTCCAGCTACTTGGAAGGCTGAGGCGGAAGGATCGCCGGAGCCCAACAGGTCAAGGCTGCGGTGGCCGGAAGCGGCCACTGCACTCCAGTCTGGGCGACTGAGTGAAACTCCAACTCAAAAAAAAAAAAAAAGAAAGAAACTCCTTGCTCTCCAACAACTGCAAAAATTAGTGACCAGCTCAAAGCCCACTTCCTAGCCACCTTCCACCTCAGGTCCCTAGGATCTGCCTTGTTCCAAACCTCAGGCTCATTGGTGATGGGCTTTCCCTCAGGGGGGCTGGGCTGGGGCTGCTTTTGGAGGTACGGCCGGAAAGCCAGGACACCTTGCTGTTTCAGCACAGTCTCTGCAGCTTGCTGACATGGCTCCTGGGTACTCAATGTCTGGAACCAGCTGCGCAGGGCACTCAGCTCCTCTGTGGGCACAGGAGAAAAGAAGAACAACAAGCATATGGACCCAGACTCGCAGGCAGGAATGGACCACCTCCGCTTTGTGGGCTTTCCCCAGTCCTCTCACAGCCATCTTCTATTCTAGGTGCCCTGAAAGCTGCACCTTGCATTGGGTCCTGAACATTCTACAGCAACACCCACACCAAGCTCCTGGGGCTAAAGGGATATGCAGTTCTCACCAGGCAGGTAGGCTGGGTCTTGGAGTAATGGGTATAGTGCTCCCCACAAAACAATATCAGTCAGAGATTCTGTCTCCTTTGTTGGGGAAAGAGAAGAAAAAAGTAAACAGGTAAGACACTCAGTTTCTTCCCAATGGTAATAACAATGTTTACTAAGCACTTACTATGTATCAAGCACTCTGTTAAGCACTTTATATTATCTCACTTAATCCTCACATAACTCAGTGAGGTAGGCACTAATACTCCCCTCATTTCACAGATGAAAAAAATTGAGGATAAGAGCGTTTAAATGTTAGTTAGTGGCAGTGTTGGATTTGACCACTCTAAATACAGTCTGCCCTCTTAATCCTTACACCATAAGCCTTCCTCAATCTTCATCTCAAGGCCCAACTCACCCCAGCCAGGAAAGGACAGTTTTGACGACTCAAGCTGTGGTCAATGTGAGTCAGGGCTCTCCGGACTGGGCCAAGAACTTCTTCACCCTTCTTGCCTTGGACCACTAAATAGTACAAGGCAGCAGACAAAGCTGGCTAAAATGCAAGGGGACACGGGTCAGCATGGCCATGCGGAGCCAGGGCCTGCCATCCCCCATGCCTCAGTCCCACCTGCAGCTCTGTCGCTTCCCATTCCAGCCACTGGTTGGTGAGGTCATCCTGCTCCCAGCCAGATAACAGAAAGAAATAGCTGCCCAGGAAGAAAGCAACAGATGGTGTAATTAGAGGAGCCCATTCATCTAGCTCATTTCTCACCCCACAATGAAACAACGGTGGCAAATAAGGCCACACAAAGGACAGTGAGGCCTGATTTGATTCAGCCACCCCCCTGCACCAATGACCAATACTGACCGGCAGATTGCACTAGTGGAGAAGAGGTAGTTGCCACTGTCCAGCTGCAAGACAGGGACCTTTGGCTGGGTCAGGAACGGGACCACACACTCTGAGGCAGGAAAGGAAAATGGGTGACAAAAAACAGGAAAAGAAATGCCTGGTCAACTTAGGACAACCTCGAGCTGTTAAGGAAAAACGGGAAGAAAGATGGGCAGTCTCAACCGAGGATAGATCCAGGATAGGACCACCAAAAGGGGGTGGGTCCAGCACGGGCTGGAGAGGCCAGCAGGTGTTCAGCTGAGACTACCAGCTGGGAACAACAGATGGGGACTGCAAAGAGGAGGTGGTGCTATTGGGAGAGTGCTGCTGCCAAGAACTGAACAACTGAGAGTGACCAGGATGGCCTGAGAACTATCTGAAGTCACAGTGGGAGAACAAAATTAAGAACCTGGGAGGACTGACAAGAGAACGTCTTAAGAATCACCCAAACCACGCTGAGAATGAGAAGAGGTAAACAGAAAAGAGTGTGTGTGTCTTAGGAGGGGAGAGGGGGATTTCGTAAGACAAAAGGGTACGTGGGGGTTGTCATGCGACCAACTAAAGAGTGGAGGGGGTTGCCAGACAGGTGTAGGGGAGCGTTGGGAAGAGTGGTTTAATGGGGCCAGGCATGGTCGTGGATGACGAAGGAGGGAGGCTAGAGCTGAGAGAAGGGTACTATGCTGAAAGCAATGGAGGAAAGTAAAGGATGTGAGTGGGAGGGAAGAGGGGAGGGGGTGATCAAGGACAGCGGGGAAGAGGCCGATTGGAGGTGTGTGAGGGGGCCGGGGTTTTGGCCAAGACAACCGCAATGTCTGGAGTGGTTCGGTCCCGCCCCCTCATCCACAGCCCACCAGCACCAGCCCGGGTACCTTCGGGGCCTACAGTGCTGACAAGCAGCTCTGCTCTGCCCCGGGCCCTCTCGGCCGCGGCCAGCACGGGCAGACTCCCCGGAGTTCCCTCGCTCACGAACAGTTTCATTTCGCCGGCAATGCCACGCTGATGCAACCGGAACCGGCCTCCGGCCTTGGAGGCGAGCGGCCGCCGCGAGGCACGCCGGGAAATGGAGTTCTGCGTTAGGCCGTCGCCCTCACGCCGCTCCCGGAAAGTCGACTATTTTTCCCATCATGCAACACTAGAAAACCGGAAAAGACTACCACCGAGACGTGGAGGCCGTAAGCACCGCGCTAGAGCGGTACCTATTTTTTTTTTTTTTTTTTGGTGGGCAGGCCAGAGGAGTTTAGGTTTAGGTCCCGGAGCAGGTTTGTCCTCCTGCGTTGCTAGAGGGCGGGCATTAAAACTGCAGCCAAGCCGGGCTCGGTGGCTCAGCCTGTAATCCCGCGCCTTTGGCAGGCTGAGGTGAGTGGATTGCCTGAGCCCGCGGGTTCGAGACCCGCCTGGCAGGCAAGACCTTATCTCTACAATAAATCAAAAAATCAGCCGGGCGTGGTAGCGCATTCCTATAATTCTGGCTACTTGGAAGGCTGAGGCGGAAGGATCACCGGAGCCCAGCAGGTCGAGGCTGCGGTGGCCGGGAGCGGCCACTGCGCTCCAGTCTGGGTGACAGAGTGAGAGTCCAACTCAAAAAAAAAAAAAACTGCAGCCAAGGCCGGGCGCGGTGGCTCAAGCCTGTAATCCCAGCACTTTGGGAGGCCGAGGCGAGAGGATTGCCTGAGCCCAGGGGTTCGGGTTCGAGACCAGCCTAGGCAACTTGGCGAGACCTCGTCTCTAATAAATCCAAAAATTAGCCAGGCTTGGTGGCACATGACTGTGGTTCCAACTATTTGGAAGGCTGAGACAGAAGGATTGCCTGAGGCCAAGAGGTCAAGGCTGCAGTGGCTGTGAAAATGCCACTGCACTCCAGCCTGGGTGACAGAGTGTGACTCCAACTCAAAAAAAAAAAAAAAAAAACTGTGACCTCTCCTCATCCTGTGGTGGTCAAGGATGAAGTAGCGATGTCAGTTACAATAGCCAACTCTCTTAAGCATCAGAGATTTTGAGCAGGGAGTTAGGATGAGCTTATCTTTAGTGACAGACTGGAAGTGAGCGTACATATTCATCCTATCAACAAAAAAGAATGGGGCTAATTAAAATATTGATTTTGGCGGGGCATGGTGGATCACACCTGTAATCCCAGCACTTTGGGAGGCCAAGGTGAGAGGACTGCCTGAGCCCACAGGTTTGAGACCAGCCTGGGTAATTTGGCAAGACCTCATCTCTACAGTAAATTTAAAAATTAGCCGGGTGTGGTGGTGCGTGCCTGTAGTTCCAGGTGCTTGAAAGGCTGAGGTGGAAGGATCGCCTGAGCCCAGCAGGTCGAGGCTGTGGCGGCCATGAGCATGCCACTGCACTCCAGCCAGAGTGAGACTCCGACTCAAAAAAATAGAAAATATATAAAATAAAATAAAATAATGATTTCACAGCTGCAATTCATATACAGGTAGACAGTCTCATCAAAGGGGGGAGAGGATATCTCTAGGGGAAATGTCAAGTTGAGGGGAAGCAGGAAGGCTGAGTTTGGCAGTAAGCATATATTATGCAAGAAAGCATATATGTGTAATTGAGAAAGGGACCCATATTCATCTTTATGTCACTTTGAGAATAATGAAGCTGGGTGCGGTGGCCCATGCCTGTAATCCCAGCATTTTGGGAGGCTAAGGCAGGAGGATCACTTGAGCCCAGGAGTTTAAGACCAGTCTGGGCAACATAGCCAGACCCTATCTCTAAAAATAAAATAAAATACTTTTTTTTTTTTTAGTTGGAGTCTCACTCTGTCACCCAGACTGGAGTGCAGTGGCACACACCCGGCCACCGCAGCCTCCACCTGCTGGGCTCCAGCAATCCTTCCGCCTCAGCCTTCCAGGTAGCTGGAATTACAGGCATGCGCTACCACGCCCGGCTGATTTTTTGATTTATTGTAGAGATGAAGTCTATGCCAATTTGCCCAGGCGGGTCTCGAACCCGCGGGCTCAGGCAATCCACTCACCTTGGCCTCCCAAAGCGCGGGATTACAGGCTGAGCCACCAAGCCCGGCCTTATAGTAAGTCTTAAAATCAAACTGTGTGGTTCCTCCAACTTTATTCTTCTTTTTCAACATTGTTTTAACTATTCTTGTTTCTTTGACTTTCCATATACATTTTAAAATCAGTCTGTTTATAACTTTAAAAAGCCTGCTGGGATTTTCATTAGAATTATCTTGCAACTATAAGTCATTTTGGGGAATTGACATCTTTTCTGTGTTGAGCCCTCCGATTCGTGAAGACAGTATGTCTCTCCATTGATTTATGTCTTTGACTTATTCCATCCGCTTTTTACAGTTTTCAGCAGATCCTTTATATTATTTGTTCATTTATACCTGGGTATTTCATTTTTGGAGCTATGTAAATGGTATATTTTTAAAATTTGGTTTCCAAATTCTGTGTGCGTGTGTGTGTGTGTGTGTGTGTGTGTGTGTGTGTGTGTGCG